TGCCCAGTCCAGCTAAGCGTGATGTCTCACCACAGAGGAGAAAGAGAGGAGGAGAAGAAAGAAGAAGGGAGAGCAGGAATGCAATGAGAGAAGTTTGCATTCTCACGTACTCATTGCCACAGCCATTGAAAATTGCTTCACAATGAAAATTAGTGACAGTCCCTTGTTGGGATGGGCAGCTTTACGAATCAATAAAATAATAAGACCAAATAAAATCAAACATAATAAATATTAGGAAAGGGGATAAGAAGAAAGTCCAATTAGCAGATGATGATCTGTGATTATAGGTAGTTCTTGACTTACGACCCTAATGGAGCCTGTCCGTCACGGTTGCAGATTGTGACAGTCATAAAGCTAGTCAACGATATGATCGATTTGATTTTACAACCTTTTTTGAGGTGGCCATTAGGCAAACCCGGCAGCCATAAAGCCAACGTGGTGGTCACAAAGCGAACACGGCAGTCGTTAAATGAACCCATGGTCCGCTTGGGTGAAGTTTTGCCAAAAACTGGAAGCAAGTGCCAGTTTTCAACAAAAATATTAAAAAAAAAACCAACCGTATTGTTGAGGGTCAGAAGTTCGGTCATATGACTACGGAGTGTGTGTGTGTGTGTGTGTGTGTGTGTGTGTGTGTGAAGGACGACCATTATAACTCTGAATCTGGGTCATAAATGGCCCCAAGGCAGGCTTGTCATAACTTCAAACAGTTGCTTAGCAACTGGTTGTAAGTCAAGGACTACCTGTATTTATTTACTTCCTGTATATCTTGCCTATCCTCTGGAATCTCATTTTATCCTTAAAGAATTCTGCAAAAGAAAATGACTGGTCCGAAGTAATCCAGCGAGTTCAACTTCGTGATCAAATAAGAACTCTAACCAGGTTTTTTGGACATATGGACTTAACCAGAGGTGGTATTCAGCAAGTTCTGACCAGTTCTGGAGAACCGGTAGTGGAAATTTTGAGTAGTTTGGAGAACCAACAAATACCACCTCTGATTGGAGATTTTATAGTATCCTTCCCCTGCCATGCCCACCAAACCACGCCCACAGAACCGGTAGTAAAAAAAAATTGAATCCCACCACTGGACTTAACATTAAACCAACTATTAATTATCATATGGATGTTTATCTCATCCAAAAATGGGTATCTCTCTCTCTTTTTTAAATAAACATTTACAACACATTCAAGGTGCAATATCAAATAGAACAGTAAAAACACAGCACTTCTAAAATATTCAGCAGTGAAAAAGATCCAGGACAAAGTGAACAAATATTTGCAAGAAAAATGAATACATTAAACTGGCCTTCATGTTAATAGTAAAAAACACGAGGGCTAATTAAATTGAACTGCCGGTACCCAAACATTTAAAGAACTTTGAATAAAATCTCCTCTAGTTTAGGATTGGTATTTCAGGAGGGAAAACACAGAAAGCAAGAGCAGAATGAAAGATCCAGGAATCTGAAGTGCTAGCACTTTAAAAGAAAATGGGAAAAAAAGTATTTGGTATTTTTTAGTTAAAAAGAAAAAAATGACTTGGGGAGCCATTTGAAGTTTTGTGAGTTTACAAAAGACAACAAATGGTGCAGAGTGATAGGAGACACTAAACTATTTCACTCCCCCAGAACAGAGTCACCCCCAAATCTTCACTGGTATAACAGGATGCGGTGGCTCAGTGGCTAAGATGCTGAGCTTGTCGATCAGAAAGGTCGGCAGCTCGGCGGTTCGAATCCCTAGCACCACACATAACGGAGTGAGCTCCCGTTACCTGCCCCAGCTTCTGCCAACCTAGCAGTTCGAAAGCATGTGAAAATGCAAGTAGAAAAATAGGGACCACTTTGGTGGGAAGGTAACAGCGTTCCGTGCACCTTCAGCCTTTAGCCATGCCGGCCACATGACCACAGAGATGTCTTCGGACAACTGGCTCTTCAGCTTTGTAACAGAGATGAGCACCACCCCCTGGAGCCAGAAAGGACTGGCACATACGTGCGAGGGGAACCTTTACCTTTATAACAGGACAGCAAAGCAAAGTTTACTACATAGCAACAACTTCTGGAACTAACTGTCACAAGATACGGTTTTATCTACAGGTAGTCCTCGACTTACAATCATAGGTTTAGCAACAGTTTGAAGTTACAACTGAGAAAATGAATTGCAAATAATCCTCACCCTTACAACTGTTCCAGCACCCCTACATCCCATGATGAAAATTTGTGTGGTTGGCAACCGGCATGTATTTATGATAGTTGCAACATCACAGGGTCATGTGATCACTATTTTCAACCTTCCCAGACAGTTTTGGACAAGCAAAGTCAGTGGGAGAAGCTGGTTTATTTATCAACAATATAATTCACTTAACAACTGCAGTGATTCGTTTAAAAACTGTGGCCAAAAAAAATGTCATAAAATCAGGTGCAATTCACTGCCTTAAGTTAGCAATGGAAATTCTGGTTCCAATTGAGATTGTAAGTCAAGAATTATCTAAAAGTCTGTAGAGATTCTCAATCACCCAGATCATGGTTGTCCCAAAGGTGCTTTTTTCAGGAGGCAACTGGACTTTCTTGTTTTTTTTTTCTTTTGAAGATGTTTCATTCAAGAAGCTTCTTCAGTTCTGACTGGATGGTGGAGAATGGAAGGATTTATATCCCTTGCAGACAGCTGGTCATTTGCATCCTTTTCGAGCAGTGGTCGCCAACTGGTGGGCCATGGCCCACTGGTGGGCCGTGAGAAAATTTTGGTGGGCCGCAGAGAAATCTCATCCCCAGAGGACCCCCCCAAAGCAATTAATTCAGGCTGCGCAGAAACACAAGGCTGCGCCACCCACATGGCCTGCGGGAACCCTCCCCGCCCACTCACTCCTTACCCGGCAAACTTGCCTGCTAAATTTCTATTTTTCCTTTTTCCGACCATCATCTGTTCTGCCGTGCTGGGAGATTTAGATTATCTAGGAAGCAGGAAATGGTTGGATTTCTTGTTTTCTAGCTAGTCTTTAGATCTTTGGCTCTGCTTTTAAGTACAGCCGAACCTCCCTTAGGACTGAAGGTTCTATTATTCAATGCAGACTCACGGCAAGCAAATTTTATGTGACAGACTCAGATAACCGATGGCAGATAGATAGATCACTGAATGATTCTGTGAGCAACTCAATCTGTCTGCCTGCTTTGCCTGATTTTGGGTAAAAGTTACTTTTTTTAATAAAAAAATTCAATATTTATATAAATATTTATAATATTTACATTCAAGCCATGCCCAGCCAGTCACATGACCACCAAGCCACACCCACAAATTAGGCCACACCCACAGAACTGGTTAGTGGTCCCTGGGATTTAAAATTATGAGTTTGGTAGTCCCTGAGGTCCAAAAGGTTGGCGACCCCTGTTTTTTTAGAGGGTCCTTGAAGCACTTGGAGGTTTATCTGTGTCCTCAAGGTCACCTGTGTGGTGGTCCTGGTTCCTGTAGTCTGCAATTTTTTCCTCTGGAAATCTGTTCATATTCCCACACCATTTGAAAGGTGTTCATCCCAAATTGGATAGCTAAGTCTATAGAGATTCTCAGTCATCCAGGTCATGGCTGTCCCAAAGATGCTTTTTCAGGAGGCAATTGGACTTTCTTTTTTCTTTCTTTTTAAATAAATCCTTCCATTCCCCGCCATCCAATCAGAGCTGGAGAAACTTCTTGGATGAGAAGCAAAACGTCTTCAAAGAAGCAAGAAAGTCCAGTTGCCTCTTGACAAACAAAAACACCTTTGGGTCAAGGATTATCTATATATGGCTCAGATGGTCCGAACTGAGGATAAGAGAGATCTAACAGCACGTGAAGCCAACAATTAAATGACAAACAATGAACAATACAATGACAATGATGAACTTAGCACATTTAGCTAGTCACCAGAAGAGCCTGGACAGCCACTTGTCTGAAATGGTATAGGCAGGGTCTCCTGTTTGAGCAGGGGGTTGGACTAGAAGACCTCCGAGGTCCCTTTCAATTGTTATTCTGTTATTCAGTCACATCCTTTTGCAAAACCCATGCTTTTTCGCTGTTTTCGCTTCGCCTTCATCTCGCCTCCTCACATCACTCTGTCCTTTTTTAAAGATGTTTCCTATTTTGGCAACGCTCCCATTCCCTGCCTCTGCTGTTGCCATCCGCTTGTGCATAAACATGGCGCAAAGCAGGGCAATCCAGCAACGGGACTGGGAACTGAAAAAGGGAGCAGAACTATTTTTGCAGCTTTAACAGAATAACAGAGTCGGAAGGGACCTCAGAGGTCATCTAGCCCAACCCCCTGCTCAGGAAGGAAACCCCAAACCATTTCAGACGTACAGTTGTCCAATCTCTTCTTAAAAACTTCCAATGTTGGAGAATTATAACATCTGGAGGCAAGTTGTTCCACTGATTAATTGTTCTGTGTGGAAATTTCTCCTTAGTTCTAAGTTGCTTCTCTCCTTGATTAGTTTCCACCCATTGCTTCTTGTCCTTTGCCCTCAGGTGCTTTGGAGAATAGCTTGATTCCCTCTTCTTTGTGGCAGCCCCTGAGATATTGGAACCCTGCTATTATGTCGCCCCTAGTCCTTTTTTTCATCAAACTAGACATACCCACTTCCAGCAACCCTTCTTCATATATTTTTTATCCTCCAGTCCCCTAATCATCTTCGTTGCTTTAAATGCCAACAGTTGAGCAGCTGGGAGGGAGGGGGAAGAAGGACCCGGGGAGGGGAGGGAAAGCAAAACGACCGATATCTCCTCCTCTCCACCCGCTTCCCCACCAAAAAAAAAAACCCCATATAGTTGCCAATAGCTTTGCTCCAACCCCGGTTTTGAGGACGCGTCAGGCAGAAACGCAACAGGCGCGCCACTTTCCCCTCGCTGCCTGCCCTGCGCCAGGTAAACGACACCTGTTCAGCGTCCAGAGGAAAAAGGCGAGGCGGCAGAGGGAAAATAGGCTACGAAGGCGGGGGGGGGGGTTCCCCTCAGAAAACGGTCCCCAAGGCCGGACTTGCACTCACTTTGCAGAGCCCATTGGGCGGCCAGGCACAAAGTCACCAAAGCCACTCGGACCCCCGGTCGGCAGCGCTGCGGGCGGTCGAGAGGCCTCATCAGAAAGCGGGGAAACGCCGCTCGGGTTCTTCATTCAGACGACCCCCCTGGCAGAATACGGGGTCGGGCGGGAAACGGGATTCTCCCCAAGTTCTGCTCCCGCGTCGTCGGCATGGAGATGGCGGAAAGCCCGTCTGCGGCGCCCGAGGCTCCATGCAAACACGAGCGTTGCTGGCCCCGGCTCTCTTCCCTTTGCAGAGGCAGAGCCGGGAGATTGAAGGCCGGCCTCCTCCTTTGCCTCCCCGCCCGCCCTGCCAGCCCGGCGGCTCTTGCTTTTGCGCTGCGGCTGGCCCAGGGCCAACGGCGCTCGGCCTGCCAGACGAGGAGCCGCCCGGAACTGTTCTTGGGCAGGCTGGTGAGAAGATGGATTCTCCCAGCCAGGCAGAGCGCCGTGGAGTCTGAGGGCTCCTTGGGGCTTTCCGAGCTTGCTTTGTTTTCTTGCAGACGTTTCATTATCCGAACTAGGTAACGTCATCAGTGCTTGTGAGGAGTGGGAGCAAATGTGGGAGTGGGAGGTGAATGTTACCTGTACTGGGTAATGAAATGTCTGCAAGAACCAAGGACCCTTCGTGTTCACCCTGAGCTACAAATACGAGAGAACAACAGAGTTGGAAGGGACTCCTCTTCAGCGCCCTTGTAACTTTGGTCACTAAATGAATTGTTGTAAGCTGAGGACTACCTGTATAAAGAGAGCTAGGTCAAAAAAAGAATGGTTAGCATCAGAAAAGAGAAAGGACAGAATGCTAGAGAAAATATAACAAAGTTTTTAGAATCAGAGCTGGAAGGGACCTTGGAGGTCTTCTAGTCCAGCCTCCAGCTCAAGCAGGAGAACCTATACCATCTCAGACAAGCGACCGTCCAGGCTCTTCTTAAAAACCTCCAGTGATGAAGCACCCACAACATCTGAAGGCAAGTTCTTCCACTGGTTAATTGTTCTAACTGTCAAGAAATTTCTCCTTAGTTCTAACTTGCTTCTCTCCTTGATTAGTTTCCACCCATTGCTTCTTGTCCTGCCTTCAGGGGCTTTGGAGAATAAGCTGACCCCCTCTTTTTTGTGGCAGCCCCTCAAATCACTTGGCAGGAAAATGCTCAGGTCCAGGACTGTGGGTTGGACTCAGAAACCGTGTGTGTGTGCGTGTGTGTGTGTAAGAGAGCCAGCTTGCTTTGAGGGTGAAGGCGCTAGCCAGAAAAGAATAATAGGTAGTCTTTATACATTTTTATCACCTTTTTTTGCCACAGTTGTTAAGTGAATCACGGCAGTTGTTAAGTTAGTAACACAGTTGTTAAGTGAATCTGTCTTCCCCATTGACTTTGCTTGTCAGAAGGTTGCAAAAGGGGATCATATGACCCCTGGATATTGCAATGGTCATAAATTTTGATTACATGATCTCAGGGATGCTGCAGCAGATTTAAGGGTGAAAAATGGTGATGTCACTTCTTTCAGTGCTGTTTTTTTTAACTGTGAACGATTTACTAAACAAATGGTTGTAAGTCGAGTATACTCCCTGTATTTAAGAAAAGGAATAGGATAAAAACTTGAGAATAGCAGGCTGGACCTAGGCATCTCAAGCAGGTTCAAACCACTCTACTGCTAATTTTAAAGAACAAATACCTTCAAACCATCAGGACAATACATTATTTTTCCCTCTGCTATATTTAAGATAGAATAACAGATAATCAGAGTTGGAAGGGACTTTATAGGTCATCTAGTCCAGCCCCTCGCCCAAACGGGAGACCCTACATCATTTCTGACATGGCAGTCCAATCTCTTCTTGAAGGTCTCAAGTGATGGCGCTCCCACAACTTCTGAGGCCAAGCTGTTCCATTGGTTGATTGTTCTCACTGTCAGAAAGTTTCTCCTTATTTCCAGGTTAAATCTCTCCTTGTTCAGTTTCCATCCATTATTCCTTGTCTGGCCTACAGATGCTTTAGAAAATAGCTTCACCCCTTCCTCTCTGTGGCAGCCCCTAAAATATTGGAAGACTGCTATCATGTCTCCCCTGGTCCTTCTCTTCACTAGACTAGCCAAGCCCAGTTCCTGTAACCGTTCTACACATGCCTTAGTCTCCAGTCCCCTAATCATCCTGGTTGCTCTTCTCTGTACTTTTTCTAGAGTCTCAACATCTTTTTTATAATGTGGTGACCAAAACTGGATGCAGTACTCTAGGTGTGGTCTTACTAAGGCTTTATAGAGTGGTATTAGTACCTCACTTGATCTCGGTTGTACCCCTCTGTTAATGCAATTTAGGATTGCATTAGCTTTTTTGGCTGCTGCTACACACTGCTGGCTTATATTTAGCTGGTTATCCACTAAGACTCCAAGATCCCTCTCATAGTTACTGCTATTGAGCCTGGTTTCACCCAGTCTATATGTGTACTTTTGGTTTTTCTTGCCTAAGTGTAGGACTTTACTTTTCTCTACATTGAATTTCATTTTATTAAATACGGCCCAGTGTTCTAGTCTGTCAAGATCCATCTGAATCTTGAGCCTATCTTTAACTAATCCCACCAGTCCATGCTCACATTTCTGTGAGCACTGTAAGGTCAAGGATGGGGTGCAAATCCAGAAGATTTCAAAATACCTTACCTATCCTAGGAACCCTGGGGATATCCCCCAAACTGTCTTAGGAATCTGTGAAATCAAAGTTATTTTCCAGATATTGAATACCTTTGCTAAATTTTGAAACAATCTTTTCTCATTATTATTTTTAATTTGCTAAAAAGAGGGTTTTTTCAAACAAAATATTTTTATTTATGTTAAGAGTTTAATATTGTATCAATAGAAGCGGACATTTGTAACTCAGGAATGAACTGTGGGATCTTTGGTGCTCAGGACCCCATGGTTTAATATTATTATTTCTGCCAAGTTTGATGAGGATTTGCTAAATCTTCTCTCATCCAATCTTCGCTCATTCTTCCAACCCAATTGGGCTACAGCTTATTTTTCCTATATTTTCCCATATAATAAATAAGTATTGGCTGGGATAGTAACTACTTTGATTGCTCCATATTGAGTTTGGATGCCATATAGTAATTTTCAAATTATTATCAATGGCACTACATAAGCATCTACTCTGGAGGAACAGCTCTCACGTATAATGTATGATGAGTGTGTAGCCGGTTTATGAATAATGCAGTTGCACAATATTGCAAATCATAAATTAAGCACACAGTTGGTAGTGCACTACATGCTCAGTTATACTTTAGCCAACCAGGTTTTGGTGAAAGGCTTTTCTGAAACAGTTGGAAGGAACTCTTGAGGTCATCTAGTATAACCCACCCACCACATGCAATCCAGGAGTTCACTTACTGCAGCATATTCATCAGATAGTTGTGCATCTAAGTACATCTAAGAAGACCAGTGTGGTATATTGTTTATGTGATGACCCAGGATGGGATACATAACAAACACAGTCATAGAAAACAGGTGAAGCCCCTTTTATTCCTGCACTTTTCTTCCAAGCTCCAAATATCCTTGAAAGAAGACAAAAAAACTCCCACACAAACAGTTACAAGAAGGAGGAAAAAAGCAACACAAACCAGGCAAGATAAGGGCACAAATTTTAACTTCCATCTTAGAATGCCCTACTGGTGGAAGAGGCAACCTTTAAATGGCTTTGAACTCCTATGATCACATGTCTAGATTGTTGGCATTCTCTGAATCACCTCTGTACTTTCCGATAATTTCATTGTTATTGCTTGGGTCCCATACGTCATCCTCTGCTGATTAACTCGGGAGATCTTTTCTAGATTCCTACTAGTACAAACCGGAAGGGACAAATGAGTTCAGTTCTCCCCAGGGTAGTGCTCATGAGCTAGAATTCATGTCCCATTATTCCCAGTCCAACAATTCAAAAATCGTGAGATTTGACGTCTCACTCACCCAGTAGGACCCAGGCTGGTGAAGGCTTGGTTTGTTGATCTGACCATCAGTTTCCAGTATCAATCAACCAGCTGGACATGTGCCCATTCTTTCCTTTGTTTCGTTGTTTGGAAACTTCTTTGTGTTCACTCCGCAGCGGCAACTTCTAGCAAAGTCTTCATCTTCAAGTTGTGCCCTCAAAGGTAGGATTGTGATTTTTTTTTCCTCCCCACTGCTTTGCCAAGATGCCTTATATCTCTTCAAATTAGCACTCTGCCAATCTCACAATCTCATTACAGGTAGTTCTCGACTTAAGACCACAACTTGGCCCAACATTTCTGTTGCTAAGCTAGGCAATTGTCAAGTGAATTTATTCGCTTTATTAAAAACCTTTCATGGGCAAACTCTGCAGTTGTACGATAAAATCTTAATAGGACATCTGTTCCTGGCAGCCAAACAAGCTGTAATAAAATGCTGGAGAGCTTTGAAGAGATTGAAGTGAATGACTTACTGACATGAACAAGAACAGAAAAACAGCCAGAGAATTGGTTAGCATAGGCTTGGTGGTGGTGTTCAAAGTCACGATAGATCCTCCAAAAAAGACTTACGACCCAGTTTTGAAGTTCCCACATTGCCCCCTCCCCTGTGGTCACATGACCTCATTTGGGGTGCTGCGTTTACAGCTGTTGGCAGTACCTCATGGTCACGTGATTTGTGATGGCTTTGCCAGAAACTGGCATTATTTTGGTTTCTGGCAAAAAAAAAAACCAGCCCAATAGGTTTGCTTAATGACTGTGGTGCTTTACAACTGCCATGTTCACTTATCAACTACTACAGGAGTGTCAAATTGGATTTCTTGGATTATTATTACCGTGTTTCTCCAACAATACGGCCTCCACCAATAGGAAGGCCCAGCATGATTTCTAGGCATGAGGTGAAATTAAGCCCCCGCCCCCCAAATTTAGGCCTATTTAAACCATGCATTTCCCCACCATTTCTCACATCATTCGTTAGAACTACATGAGGTGAAGAGAAATGGGAAGGGGAGGGGAGGAGAAAACTTGCCTTTAGGAGCGCCATGCAGGTAGCCTAGGCTAGAATACCCTGATCTACTACCGATAAAACATCAGCCGATAGAAATGGCCTCGTGAGGGGAGCTCGCATTAGTTGTCTTTGAATCTACCAGCGGGGCAGGAGAGAAAGCACACGCGTATCTGTGTCTGGATGAAAATTGGAATGGGAGAAAACGCCTTAGCCCAAATGTATTCTTCTTTTGCTTTCTTGCCCATTCTCTGATCAATCTCTCCAGGGCAGCTTTTAGCCTAAAATCGCCC